GAGAGAGAGAGAGAGAGAGAGAGAGAGAGAGAGAGAGAGACAGACAGAGAGAGAGAGGGAGGGAGGGAAGTTTAGGGCAGCTATCGCCTGCACTGCTCACACGAAGGATCGTTTACCCTCGGTTGCCGTCGAGTGGTGGGTATATCACACGGAACACACCACATCACGAAACACTTCAGCCGTAGCCACGCAGTTGCTCTGCAATCACAGACAGGATTCCCTGCTGTGTTCTCCGTACGAACCTCTCAGACTGGCCCAAGTAGCTGGGCCAGGGCGGTGTAGACTGACTATTTATTGTGCTTTCACTACTATTGTGCTGCCGTCGTGTGAGGAGGGCCCAGGCGGAGCAACTCGGTGGCACCTTGACATGAACGAGAAAACGTTAAAAAAAACTGCAACGGGACTTTTCTCTGTACGCCGAAGCAGGCGGGGCCCTGTCTGGTGCTGTGATCTCGACGACGACCATGGAGATACCCGTGGTACATACAAATGACCAAGTTGAGCTCTCTAGACAGCAGTACGGAGAAATCGACAAGTGTGAGCACCGCTGCTATTGAACGCGGACTGCACACCGGCGTGAATTCTGCCAATATTGAGTGACTCTAAGCTAATGACTCTCACCAGGGAACACCAGGATCGTGCCGTGTGCGTGTGCTTGGTGGTGGAAGAGACGAGATGGAAATGAGAGAGAGACAGCAAGGAGAGATGAGAACGACCTGCGGGACAGAGCGGCGGAACAATGAAGGAGGGACGGCAATTAGAGGGATGGGAGGTGCAGAAAGAGGCTCCGTGATTCGACGGGTTTGCTCATCGAGGAAGGCGCAATTTGAAACGACCTCTGCTTTTCTGGCTGCACGACGAACGACGAAGCATATCTTCTTTCGAGTTAGTTCTCCCTCCCATCACGGAGAAGGGGCTGCTCATCTACCCATCACATGAAATACTTCTGGTTTCTCATATCTTCACCCCACCTCACACATCACACATTTTAACATAGCGCAGGCTTGAGAGAGGGCCCCGTCAACGTTCCTCTCAGCCACGAAATCCCGCCTGGCCGGGTGGCACGAGCCCGCGGGCATAACGGACGTGCTGGCCGACAAGGTACGTATTCCATAGCAGCGGTACATGTAAAGTCTATGGGTAAATCTTACCAACCGGCCTGGTGCGTACAGCGTGTTTGCAAGATTGGGTTCCGCACCTGTATTTGTTGCAACCTACGACGGTGCAGCGGGTGAAATGGGCTCGACGCCCATAACACAAGTTGGTATGCAAGAGCTTTCGCCGCTGCTGATGTATGATCTACTGTCACCCTGCTACTGCTGTTGCTGTTTGTGCTTGCTGATGGTGCTGGGTGCTAGGACCGGGACGTTGTGCGTACGTACGCACACATTGTCTGCAGCAGTGCTGACGCATGTACACTCCAGACAAGGCTATGTCTTCTCAAGCCAAATCTGCAGCACCCTGCATGTACATACTTGTAGTCACCATTAGACTCGTGGGCCCCTGCAGACTGGATAGCACTCCAAAATCTACAAACCCAACCGCAGGAATACGCGCCTTGAAAGTCTTGCTGGTGGAGGCAAGGTGGGGTGGAGGATACCTTACCCCGACGATATTGTTGGTTCGTTTCTCCCACACTGCATTTACTGCCGTTCTCCTGAAAGGAGATCTAGACTAATGGAGCACCGACCCGGTGCCACAATAAAGAATTTCTCGGCGACGCGTGCCTTGAACCTTCCATGAGGGACTGGTTTTAGCCATCTTTCGCCCAAGAAATTTCACAAGAAGTGCGAAATGAGCAATAAGCACATCTGGCTGAGAATCAAACTCTCAACATCACTGGACTACGTGTAGTCTATAAACCAGGGGAGAACCGTTATGCATGCTTGCAACCGGTGTCTATCGATCGATTTGTATGCGCTGTTTCCATATTTCAGTTCAAACTGCACCCCCGAAAGCTGTTATGGCGCTAGACCTCCAGCTGCGGGCGGCGTTCGCAAGGAGCGTGCGAGACGTGGAAGCCGCAGGTGAGCCAGGGGGTGATCCGTCGCACAAGCTTCTGCTCGCCCTTCAGGGGAAACGGGGCCTGGAGGCTGCGTTCCGACTGCTTCGAAAGGCTAGGACACAGGTGCGCAACTGACATTCCATGTAGTTGGGGGGAGGGAGAGGTGTCAGACAACCAAGCTTGCATACACTAAAAGAGTTGGTGTTCTATCAGTTCACCGGAGGAGTGCACTGCAGCCGGTTTATCTGAATTGTTCTGTAGCGTTGATAAAGGGGAAATTCATGGGCGTTGGGAGAACATTTGAAAGACTTGTCGAGAGTCCAAATCTTGTGCGTGGAAAATGAAAGAGTCGGCTGCCTTACCGTTTCTGTATGCCTAGCCTCTGGTTGACCACGATGTACCTATAGCATTGGCAACCCCTGCAGGACACGCCGTGCACAGCAACCACAAAATCGCGTGGTACCGCTGCAGCCCGAATCTAGCCGTTAGCCGCTATACCGGCAATAGCGACCTGCTCTTCACAGAGTCCATCTTCCCTATGGGCCCGTCACAACTGTACGGCGGTGTTTTTATGTCTCTACCGCTAGAACAACGTGCCAGGGGAAGGGAACCAACTCCGGTCGCCCGAGCTGCTGGTGCTTGCCGCCGAGACAGCCGTGAAGAACGGGGAGTTCAATTTGGCCAGGAAGGCTTGTCACGAGTTCTTCCTCGATGGGGGGGGTGCGAGAGATCAATTCTTCTGCCGCGCTCTGTTTGTGAAGGTATTGAAAGGCGGTTTTCTCAGACGCACTCAGCAGTGCGGTGCTCATCGAGAAACCCCTGCTGTGGGGTACGTAGACTGAGTTGCGTTTGTCGATTGCCGTCGTATGCTTGACAAATTAGAGTTAGGGCGCGATTCGTCGAGACAGAGTTACGGTGTTCCACAACTCGAAGCAAAGATCTTCTGTGCGTGGTTCTGCTGCCGGATTTGTTGGCACGTGTTTTTTTTCCAACGCTCGGGTGGAGGCGCTGGTGGTGAGCAACTCGATTGGAAGGGACGGTCTCGTGGGCGCGGAGGCCACCCAACGCCGCTCCCGTGCGGTGGGATACCTCACGCAGGTAAGATCTTGGCGCCTACATTAGGTAGCGTTGGGACAGATCACTCGCAGGGCGTCTTAAATAGTCGCCATCGGTCTAGTGAGCAGAACTCTCACAGGGAACAAATGGACAATTAATTGTCACGTGGGCTTGACGCCATTGTGTAGGACGGTCAATGCCGAACGGAGATATGGTGTCCTGAGGGTGTGCAGAAGCCACGCGGATCTTCGTTCCCTCGGAGGGCACATAGTTCCACGTGCTTTGGAAAACGGTCTTTTTTCCCCTGTGCTAAAAGAGGATTCGCGGATTCCTGTGGCACAAGGAAAACAAAGTGAATCGAGTTATATATTGATTGTTGGACCCTTGCCACTTCTTTCCGGTACCATAAGACGAATCGCGCATGATGGACTAGTTTGTTGTTGATTGGTGGCCAAAGGAGGTCTCAATTTCTTTCCGTGCCACGCCTTTGCACGCACAGCACACGTTCGAGTTCACCTGGTCCGCGGTGTGTTCCTCCTACCGAAGAGCGTGAACCTCATGTTGCCTACTCGGACACGATTCAGGATTTGTCGTACCCTAGAGAGTATGCATACAGAGGACATCAGCGCACGCCTGAACTTATGAAACGCAGACGGCACACCCACGATAGGCGAGTATTTGGTGCGCGATTGCTTCCCTGTGTTGTACTTGTTGGAAATGCTTCCGGCCAAAGCGTGTCGCGATGTAGGCCTTGGTGATGCTGTTGTGCAACAGCCAGCCTCAGCACGTTCACAATGTCATTTCCTGTCGTAACGGCTTCTCTAAGGCTCTGGATATCGCCACAGAAGGGGGACCGCGATACGCGTTCCTGGTGCACAACGTCTCCGTGCACGCGTGGAACATTCTGAGGCCCGCTCTCACGGCCGGGCGGGCCGGCCATCACGCCAAGGAGCTCGCAAGGTGGTGTACAAACCCGTCATGTTGGTTGGACGGCGTTCTCGGCGCGGTTCTCAGGGCCGTTCTCAGGACCACGGAGACCGGGGGGGGGGATCTGTTGTTCGATTGCTACCTTCGTCTTCCAGAAGAATAGTTGAAGTGTTACCCTAATGATTGATCATTCCGACGCATGTTGGTGTGCAAGCATGTCTACCGCTTTGAACGGTGTGCAAAAGTCTATTGGGCTTTGACCATTGACGCCACGACAACGTACGTGATCACCTAAGGTTTTCTGACGCACTGGAAGCTACCGAGGATGCAGACCTGCGGTGGCGGTGCGCCCTTCTGACCGCGGTTTCTCTCGCCCTCGAGGACAACGGAGACGCGAACCCAGCGGCGGCCAAAGCGGCGCTCGGCTTGCAGCACGCAGAGGCCCTGGCGTTGAGGGAGAGAGTCAAGGCGGAAGCAGCTCGCGATGTCCTGAACGAGGTATGTGCTGCTGCTGCTGCTGCTGCTGCTGCTGCTAATACTGCTGCTGCTGTTGATGTGCTGCTGCTACGGCTGCTTCCGTCGTTGACGGTGATGGCTTTGCCCATACTCCGATAATGCGGCCGTGATGGTGTATCCTCACCTCGGGGCCTGCACATGTCGAACTTATTCGGCCCCGACACGAGCCCCTCTTTCGCCAGAAAGCAATAAGCACAATACACATTGCGCCCAGAACCAAAATCCAGTACTTTTTCGTCACTCCTCGGCAGGCGAAAAAGAGGGTGGCCGCAGCGCAGGCGACGATTCGGAAAATCGAGGAGGCTGCCAGCAGTGCAGCCGAAATCGCGTCTCTCGGAGATGGGCAGAGCGAGGGTGAGCTCGAGTCATTGTTTGTTCATTCCGTGGGAATTCTCCCTCAGAGGAAATAAGGGTGGGGTTTCGTCTGCGTAGTTTGTTATCTGGTTTTGTTTGGCTTGGTCGCTCGTTGTTGTGAAACGTTTCGAAGAGCAAGCACGAGCTAGAGGTTCGTTCTTTGCTTCCTATAGACATGCGTCTGGCGCGCTATACGGGATGGATCAATATGAAGGGCTTTTCGTCAATGTGATCGAACCATCATCGTCTTCTCGGAACTTGTTGTGCTGTTTTCGCCTGGTTTAGCTCAGCGCGTCCCTCCGCCAGTTGGACGTATCACCTGCCTCGCTTGCGGTGGTTCGCAGTCAACGACCTACGGCTTTGGGAATAGCGGTGCTTCTGCCGCATGCGTTGTGGAAACATCGGCTTGTTTGGTTTCGTGCCTTTCTCGTGTAACTTCCGCTACTCTTTCACGCTAGTCGTGCAGTCGTAGCAGCGGCCTTCAACTTAAACGCCTTTGAAAGGCTCGGGGTGCAAAAAAGAATCGTTGCACAAACCCGTGTCAGTCCAATCCAATCCCATTGCGGAGGCCAACGAACACTGGCCTACCCGCCGCGTCATTTTTCTCTTTCACAGGTGGCGCGGTGGCGGAGGGTTCCGTGGTGTCGTCTTCCACGGGCCCCGCTGGCACCGGCGAGAACCATTCTCTTGACACGGAAGAGAAGATGGCGGCCGCGCTGTCGGCCGCGCTGGCGTCTCGCGCCGCGGCCGAGGCCGACGTCTTGGAGGTGGGAGGGGATTTGATTTGCCGGAGCAATCTCTCTGTAAATGGAGGGGTGCACTCATGTGAACGCATACCGTAGTCGTTAGAACATGGACCTCGCATCCCTACAATATGCTGGGACGGAGGGATATGCCAGGTTTTGAACGGCCCAGGCTATGTTTCACAGGGATGAACCAAAAGGAGGAAAGGAGGACGGTTCTTAAGTTTCCGTGAATGGTTTGGGTGGTTTGAGGCCGTGATGTTCTGCATGCCCAACGTGACGTAGGGGTGGAACGCGTCGGGCAAGTACAACAAGAACGCACCGAGCAGCTTGCTCTGGCCCAACGTTATCAAAGTGTCGCGCGGAGCCTGCGGCAGATGCTTAGAGACCCTGGCCTCACTGGTATCACACGGCCGATGGGTACAAAGGAAGATTACCGACTGTGCCCTGATATCCAGCAAGTTGTTTCGCTTCTTGAGTTTGACAACAGTTGAATATCGTAAAGTCCCCCTCGATGCGTCCGAGAAAGGTCATCTCTTGAACCAATTCAGATCAACAGTGTTTCCTACCTAGCGGGGAGAACAAACCGCCAGCCCCTGGCCGGTTCAAGCAGGCCAACGGCGTACCTCATGGCCGAGCGTTTACCACGCGCTCTCCTTGTCTCCATCTTGCGGTGTTACGCTCTCATGGGCACAAAGCGTACCAACCCCAAACGGTTATGCACTCATGTAGTATCCCAACCCACCTTGCATCATCCATCAGCCGCGAACGATATCGTTTCCTACGACCCCATAATAATGAAACCAACCAAAGCAGTAGAGCCACCCTCAAACAAGTGAACAGCCCTGGAAACGTTTTCTCTTTTGCTTGACCTGTTTCTCTGACAGGCGGGAAGGAAGCTCAACCCTCTGGTCAAAGAGGCGGCGGAAGCTGCGGCCCTGTCGGAACGGACCTGGCTTTTCCGAGTCTATTCGACAGCGAAGGGTGCGGCGGCAGGTAAAGAGAAGTACCTGGGAGATAGAGGATCGTCAATTGTACGTGCACCGAGATTTTATTGCGCTTTCAACTCATAGTCACGTTGAGAATCCAATCCCGTGGGAGGATGCAACTGTGCCAAATTACTGTGGATACTGTCCCTGTTCGTCCCAATCAACGTGTGAAGTAGTGTATCCCAACTAGGGTAAGGGCAATGGGCGCGGGAAGCTACTCATGGCAGTCTTGGCTTTCCTACGCTTGTCTTGGGGAGGACGTCTCACCTGACAATCTGCACTTCCTCTCAGCGGAAATAACGTTGGGTCAAAAGGGGCCGCCCGCTGACAACTTCTCAAAAATATATTGCGGTTGAGATTGGGACGCACTCCGATCGATGGGACCGTGTTTTCTGTGAGGTTTATGAAGACGTGACGTCATTTGAACGGGGGATAGGATGGCGTTTTTTTCGTTCGGGCTTTTGCAAGTGTCGATGACCAACACCAAAGTGCGCACCGCACCGTGTGTGTGTGTATCAAGGGGGGAAATGGTATCCGGCGGGCAGGCCGCCGCCGAGGTCTGTCAGAGACCTTTCTACCTCCAAGCACTATGTTTCTGCGCGTGCCTTGCTCACCCCCCAGGTGGTGCAGATGCCAAGAAGTTGCTAGAGACCCTGCAGACACAGACTTCAGAGGACATCCGCAGGAGCGCTCTCATGCTTCAGCAACAGGTAAAGATTGGCCTGAAGCGAACCGGCTTGTGCGAGAGATAGCTGTGAAACCGCCTGCTCTTTGAGAGATGAAAGAGGCTCGGCTTCATCCAATAAAAAATCCGCCGAACAATTGCGCAAGCCAGGATAACCAGGGAAGGGTCGGTGTTTGTGAACTACCATTCGTTAAATAAGGGCTTCATCTCTAGGGTTGTGCCGGACAAAGGCAAAACAGTTGAGATATTGGCTCCGAAATTTTGGGAGGCAGGAGATCATGATGGGCAAAGATATTGCCGGAAGGACGAACGATAAAGAAGCGCTTTTGGGTTGGCATTGAGCCCTTCCTTGGTGCATGCAGCGCTTTCACTTTCTGGAGAATAAAGTAGGCCCCCGTTGTTATCCGCCGTCAACAAAACGAATCGATCATCTCTCTCACGTTTCATGCCTGTTTCAATGGTGCATGCAAAGCGAGTGGAACATGTCTGGTGCACCCCCTCCGTAGAACCGCGTTCGGTCTCCCTCCCCCCCCCGTCGGTTTCCAGGGTAAGGGAGAGAGAAAGGAGGTGAGAAAGAAAGGGGGAAAGAACTCCCATCACGTACCTTCTTACCGCTCCATCTCGCGCTCCACTCCGCTGAACAACGCGAAAACCCCAACACAGGTCACGGCGGGGGCCCTGTTCGGGGATGCTGTGCTGCATGCGCTGAAACCCCAAGCGGAAAGTGTGGACCCGGGAGGGGTCACCGTTTTGGTGGAGATGTACGTGAGGGTAGCGGCGGGGATAGGAGCAGAAACCAACGGCGGAAACGTCGACGGTACTGATGGGGGCGCAGAAGATGGGGGGATGGACGGGGGCTTGCAAGGGTTACCGGCCTCGCTTCCTGCGCCTTCCTCAGACGCAAAGTCCGCGCTAGTGGACCTCGGAAGAACGGCTCTCAAGGTAGATGGCGCCGTTTTCCGTATTGATGTGTCATGCCACGACCCAAAGGCCTGATGCGGCTTGAGCACCACCCTGCCACGCATGTGTACGCCTGAGAAAACAGAAACATTCCTTTGCATGGTTGGTTTCTTGAACAAGCAGTGCTCCGACCTTTGCGTAAACTGTGCGTCCACAATCCCTTACGGACATTTGTTGGTCGCAAGTTACCCTAACCTCACCCCTGGGGGGGGTGCCGCGTGTCAAAGAACCACTCTTCAATTCGGGGAACAATCAAGTAAACAATTGTACCGGCTCTCACGCCAGCATGCCGAATATTGAGGGAGCATGACCACAAATGGAGTTTCAACTCCTATGGTGTCGCGTTTCAGTCTATAGAACGTACCTACCCGGGGACGACGAGTGTTGCAATAAATATTACGCCAACGCTAGACGGCGAAGAAACTCCCGCAGTTGGGGTTGCGGGCCGTTGGCGGGACTCCGCGGATGAACTCTCTGCAGTAGCCTATGACATGCCACAATCGAAACTCTGCAAACGTCGCACAGAAACACATGAACATCGACGATACCAACGTATCGAGTATCGCATAGGCCGATCCCAACAGCTAACATCGTGGTGGGGTCCAAACACTTCCGAGGGTGTCAGGCCATGAACGCCGAGGAAGAAGCGAGAAGCCGGCCGGGGCCCAACCGTGACGCTTTCCTGTTCTTCGCGAAAGCCTGTTACGTGCGGGCATCTTCCTCGTCCAGAAAGGCTCACGGGGGCAAAAATCCCCCGGCAGGTGATCTCTTCGTGAAAAGCGCGTGTTCAGGCCGCCAGTCCTTTTGCATTAAACACGTTGAACATATGATCGTTCTCTCCTTGCTTGCTGCTGAACATGACACCGCCTCCTAGTTTCATCTTGAGCTGTTACCTCCTGTTTGACCGTGTATGAACCGTATTCGTGACAGCGTTTTTCCAGAGCAGTTCTTGCATTTGTTTGGCGGGACGATATCCACGAAAGACCGTCCGTTGGGACGCAGGGGGGTGCGTAGAAGTCGTGGCAAAAGTACAGTGTCCTGGTCGACTCAATAGACAGAGAGGAGTCGCTGCGAAATACAGTCGTACCGTGTGGCAAGAGGATACCTTAGATGGTCGTCGTATCTATCTTGGTCACACTGCCTTGAAATGATTGATTGGTGGCAGAAAAGCGTTCTGCTCGACATCGAGGAAGAACATGCATGCGGAGACCGACGAAAGTCGCGTTTGGGAGGAAATTGAGCCTCCGACCGTTGCCGCCGATCTTGGGTGGCCAAATGTTATTCCGCTGTAGTGAAAATGTTTTTCACCTGTGTTTCCACAGCACGAAGTTCATCGCAGGCAACATGGCCGCACAAACCCCCCAAGCCACAGCGATTGCTACTGTCTCATCAGCGGTTTCCAACGACCTTTCTCCGATCTGTGGTTTGGCGGGATATACTGTAACTTGATTCTCTCACGAGGTAATAAAAAACAGATAGATACCTAACTTCCCACTTGTACTCGCTCCAGTGGCAAGCTGAGGCCTCTGCTGCTTCACAAGGACGATCGTTTGAACTTCTGAAAATTGATTTGCTCGAAAGGGGTGATGGCTTGTCGTATCGCACTGGTGCTGCTGGTTGTCGCCGACGCGCATGCAGGAGTTGGCGGGAAGGATGAGGGCGGAAGCGCCGTATCACCCGGTTCCTTCCGAGCACGGTTGGAGTTCCTAGGGGCGGAGCTAGCCGCCCACAGCATGATCTCGGATCTTTCCCCTGGCAGCAGCAGCAGCAGCAGCAGCAGCAGCAGCGATACCTTGAAGCTGGACGCGAGGCGGGCGGACGCTCGGCGGCTCGCAGATAGGGTGGAGGCCTTGAAGCGGGTCGAGAGATCGCTGCTGAACTGCAAGCGACTGGGAGACCCCGACCTACTGCAGGCATGTTTTTTTCGCGAACGTCATGTTCCTCGTAGCACAGACAACCTATTCAACCAACAAAATACTTCACGGGTGCGTTGAACTCGGACGCGTTGCAAAGACTTGGAAACCTACGCACAAATTTCGACGACTTCGTGCCTGCGTTGTGTTGAAATGTTCAAACCACTCCCGTACTACGGGAAAGTATCCGTTCAAGTGGTTGCCTGGTTCTCCCTAGACGCGACTCAAACTTCTTCAACAGGCAAGGAAGTCTTTCCCCATGTTTCGGTAACCCAAGGACCCGTGTACCCACAAACGTTGTTGGGTTTATCTCACATTCAATCTAGGAGATCGTCAAGCCCTGATGATCCGGATTGTTGACGATAGCCATGTGTATATCTTGGGAGCAACAAATGTTCAACATACGAGGGATGACGGCATCACAGCTTCAACATGTTTTTTTTTATTCATTACCCTCCCAAATCCTGTGGAGTGCGCACCAACTGGTCCAGCCTGACGTTCAAACCCACACCTTCATATCGTCGCTTCTCATCGACAAAGCCTCTGTCGCCTCGTCGCAACCGTTAACTAGCCACCACGAGAGCTTTCCGCTTGGCGGTATTTCCCCCAAGAGATTCTAACTTGTTGGTCGTCGTACCGGGGTGGTATGCAGAAGCAAGTTGCATCGAATCGCAACATTTGCGGTAGGTTGGAATGTGGCGAACGAGTTTACTCTGCCACCTTGACATTCGAAACGCTTTGGCATATGAAGGGACACATGCTCAAGCACTTTGTGATTCAACTCTCGAACAACTGTCACTGGATAGGCTTAAGGCGTTCCAACTCCAGCCTGTTCCTGATCTACCTATCGTGGTAATAGTATCCCGTGTTGTTCTATGAAATGGCTTCGGAGTGTTCCGGTTGCGTACATTGACCGCTGATAGGTTCTCCCCCGATACATACCGCGGGTTGCGTCTCCAAGCCTCATTCTGCTATTAATTACCTGCCCTGCTCTATTTCCCTGTCCTGCTCTTCATGAATTTCTGTTTCATTTCAGTTCCTCCCAGTATTCCAAGCTTTTTTCGGGGCACTGCTCCGGTCCGCTCTGCTACGCTGTGATCTGCTCTGCTCACACGCAGGAGGGCTGCTGCCTGGCATTTTCCATCGGTGTCCCCCTCCTAGGTAGTCGGCACCGGAAACATGTCCACCGCTGTTTCTCTCTCGCGGCTCAGATTCTGCAGGACCTTCAGTCTCCGCTCGCCAGGCTTCGAGCGCAGCTCCATTTGGAGGTAAGGACAATGGTTGCAGAGCGCAAAAGGACGCTCACCGTACTGTTCGGATTAGCTGTTGAACGATCGCAACTTTCCATGTGAGCAGGATAGAGGATGGAGCTCGCGCACGGGTCTACGAAGGCTGCTGAAGACCAAGTCACAGTGAAAACGTGATGATCGGTGCTCCTCCGGTCTTTCTTAATCTCTCCACGTCTCACGTTCAATTCACTCTGAGGTCATATGTAAAAAATTGTGCTGACCTACCAGGTGGCGAAGTGCGAGATGGACTCGGACTTCCTAGCAAAGGCGGCGTCGCACGTGGAGAAGGCCTGCATGCAAGACTACGGCGCCTCCGACATGACCACTCTAACGCCGGAGACCCCTCTGGATGGAGAATGGGACTGCGACCAGCAGCTCGGAAACACGTTCTCGGAAGGGAAAAACCGGCGGCATTTCGAAGCAGGGGGCTCTGATGGGGCGGGGGCGGGAGACTTTCCAGAGGGTCATGTTGCAGCGGCCAGGGCGGAGGCGCTCAACGACGTCCTGCGGCCCATGGACAGGTACGTTGTTTCTCTACGGAAGACGTTCCCTCTCAGAATACCTTGGTTTACACCGTTCTGAGCAGCGGTAGTAGCCTGGATGACAAAAACACGTAGGGACTGCTGCACTACTTCGGCCTTGTCAGTTTGCTACTTGTCCAATGAATGTTCTTAGCTCCGAGGGAACCCTTACTGATCTGTCAGCGATTGAATCATAATTCCGCCAAGTGTATCTCCCCCGCAGAGTATGCCAGGTTCTGATGTGAACCGATCCACTGTGCCCTTCTCCGCTTTTCGTACCTCCTTGAGAACGGCGGATTGTGCTTAGGGGATACACTTCTTGAACCGACTAGCACAAAACGGTGTACAGAGCTATGCATACGACGATATTCTCATTGACCGTCGCGGAAACCGTTCACAAACGTGGGTGAAACCTACATGATGTCAGTCTGGGTCCTGCGGGGTTGAAGCGCTGCTGCTCCTGCGACCGCTCCTATTGCTGCCACCCCTCGTCGTGATGATTCTTCTCATTTCTTCGGGCTATTCTTGTACCGAAGGTTCATGGCCCCCCTCGCCTCATTCCTACGTCTGAAAACGAGTGTCGACGTGGAGCCCACAACGGCGGAGGACAGGGCCCTCCTACTCGTTGACCAGGTGCGGGCCGAAAACGAGGCGTCTCTGTGGGGCTCACAACAGCAATGCAGGCTGCTTTGGGAACGCGTTCAAGATTGTTGACACTGTGAGGCCCAATAACCCGGAAAGGCCGTTGTTGAGGATTGCAATACCAATTTCCTCGGGATCCTCACGAGAGTGATCACCGGCAGGAACAAGGCCTCGAGGGCCTACCACGATAGAAAACGTGTGAACGACCCGACAAACATGCCAGCACACCGAGCTCTATCAGCTTAACCCAATGCTATCCAATCATGACCCGAAACGTGAACCAAGTCAAATTGACGCAACGACAGGCCTGATCTTAAATGCGCGCAGGGGAGGCACGCGGTGGACCCATTCTTGAGGCGAACGCTCCTCGTCCGAGCAGCCGAACAACTCGACATTGCCGTCCAGCAAGACAGAATCAATCCCAGCAGGTTGGTCGCGTGGGACCATTTCCCGAGTTTCAGAGTAATAGTGTTCGGCGTTCCGATGAGGGCGAGGTGTGAGATTGGGATGTATGGTTGAGTTCAGCAGCACGTAACTCCAGTAGTAGGCCTAGCCAAGACGTTGCAAGCACAACAATCTACTACTCACGAGGGTTTCATGAAGCAATCGCCGGCACGGTAATCATTACGCGGTCGACAGTGAAGGGTGGTATCCCCACCTACCTGCCCAAACGCTGCTCAGTAGAGGAAATGCAATAATTCCCCCCGCACAACAACGTCAAACTACCGCCCGGGACACCGCAGGATTGCAGCAGCTCCGTCTGTTGCTGAGGAAGGTTCCGCCGCCACCACACCAGCCACCGAGCAACAGGAACAGCGACAACGACAGCAAGGGTCAGAGGGGGAATCCCTGAGTCCCGGTAACGGTGCGGACGACGAGATCGATACTATCGCGGCCGGCTTCGCGGCGCAAGACGCTGACGGTTCAGGAGACGGTGACGCTGATGACACACCTCCCCCGTCGTCAAAAAGGTCGGTTTCCCGTTCTGTGTGGATGGGGCTTGGTGGCAGAGGGAGGAGTCCATGCTGTATCAGGATGTATCACACTCGATTGCGATCAAGAGGCGAGGGCATCGACGACAATAGCGCATGAATAATGGACAATGTGCTGTTGCCGAGTGTTCTGGGCGGCGTGAACTCAAAACCGAAAATACGGGCGTGGTGATACTGCTTTGGGGTGTCGTCAGAGACAGTGCTTGAGTTTATTTGCATGTGCACGAACAAACAACTGGAGCCGCGTTTTCACTTCTATTGGAACGACAACTGATCGTCACAACAACCCGAGCGCTTCACCGGAACGCACTTCGTAGTGCAGCCCCCGTGGTCGACCCCGACCGCACATGTACACCCGTTGTAGGCCTTGTGGTCGCTGATAAAGCACTTACTGCTCCATCGCCGGAACATTCTAACACAACGGTGTCGTCGCAATCATCTTGTCGGCATGTCGATTTGCGCGAGGTTTCTGTACAATCGCTGCCATCAATAACGGTTCCGATGTTTGCATGTGGGCTGATATTCGTTTTGGAGCTGAACATATCAGCAGCATCTTTTGCTGCGTCATATCTTCTCTATCGACGCAATCCCTCGCAATTCCAACCATCCGCTCATAAGACAGGCTTGTCCGAATCTGGTTCGCCCTTCTGGAGCTGGCTTGGGACCAGAGCCAAACACAGCAAGGCAGCGGAAATAAGAAGGCAAGAAACGGAGGGATGTCGGCTACAAATGCTTCGAGCTCCGATGGCGATGCCCGCGACGTTGGTCTGGCTAGGAAGGCGGCAGTGGCGGTGCTGCGGAGCGGTCCTTGGAGTCCGGAAAAAAACAGAGAGCTGCTTGTATTGCAGGTGTGCAAAGGAATCGTTTTTTTTTTGCAGTATTGTCTAGATGGGAGACAACGATGTGTTGAGTTACGGCGGAGAATACGAAAAACAGATTTGTGTCCTCCGCTTCCATCACTCCTAGGTGGCTCCATTCAAATCTTGTTGACGAGCTACCACAACGTTGGTCACGTAGAACTGATTTCGTTGTTTGGAGTATTCATACCCCAATGCAACTACAATTATGTGTGTTTGATGGTACTTTGCTGCAGTCAAGTGCTTCCTGGGGCCAGCAATTCCATCTCCCTCTCTGTTCGCGCCTCTATCGCTCTGTTTTGCTTCGTTTATGGCCATGCACGTGTTATGTTTCAACTCATTGTGCAACACGGAAAAGGCCATCGGCATAGTCGGGCCTGTCACGAAGGACCAACACTTGCTGGATTCTCCAATCGTTGCTTATTCGTCTTCGCATCCTATCCAACATTTGTTGTTCGTTTTGAAGACACAGGCGCAGTTAATGCTCGGAGAAACCTTCGTCGAGGAGCTTCGTTTGGCGCACACCGTAGAATTAGGGACCGATTCTCCGGCCAACCTTTCCAGACCAGGTACTAAGACCAACAGGCAGCCCACGACTTCTGACAATGGCGACAATGCAGTCGGCAGCAGTAAGCACGGCAACAGGTACTCCAAGAAGGGTTTGGATCTAGACCCGCGGACGATGGGGATCGCGACAACGGACTGCCTGGCGGGCGTATCCGCAGACGTTTCAGGTGCGATGATAACAACTTCTGGGTAGTGTCAAGGGCTGAATCCGGGTCCAGCACGTTCCTCGAAGCTAGCGGAAACAGCAGATACGCCGAGCACCGAAAGTATCGTTTCTGGCATGTCCGTGCAGATTGAATTGACTTGAGGTCGTTCGCAAGATTGCCTACTCTTGAGTGCAGTAACGCCATCTACCGCCACCTAACGCGATCGCAAACTCACTCTGGGAACTACTGGACCGGTTTGAACTGTTGCCCTAAAAGCATTCCCCCGCAACGGGGATGATGACGTTCGCCAATATGCTTGTAGCTTTCCGAACCCAACATCGTTTAGTCTGCGTTGACAACGTTCATCTACAGAGTGTCGTAGCCAGGTTCGGGGGGTTCTCCACCCGAAGAGCCGCAAGTTCCGTGCAACATTGTTCTGCCTTACACCTTGGCGATCGTTACGTTTGCATCACCATTGTTGCCTGCAAGTTCTTGCTCGCCTGCATGTTGTGAATGTGGGGGGGTGCGGTAGACATCGCCCGGAAAATCGCAAGTATCTCGCTTTAGTCTAATGCAAACAAAAACTTCTTTACAATTTGAAGTTTGCCTCAACCCCCCCTTCACATGTTGTGAGCGTCTCGATGTCCAATGATCCGCAATCCTATGAATATGTGTGTCAGAGCTATTGGACGGCCTGAAGAAGAAAGCTTGCGGCTGCTTCGTGGGTGGGCTGCGGAGGGCCGTGAGGGCAAAGGAGCCGGCACTGGTCCAGAGCGGGGCCGTTTACGTGTATAACTTCCACATGCCGGTGCGTTGTGAGAAGTTTTCTTAGAAGAGGGACAGAGAGAGAATGAGGGGGGGGAGGGAGGGAGGGAGAGAGACAGAGAGAGAGAGAGAGAGAGAGAGAGAGAGAGAGAGAGAGAGAGGGGTGGAGATTGATAGAGCAGACAAGACAGATACCTACATGGAGACAGCGACAGAGAGAGTATGCTCGTTTCGGCCTTCGCATTCGGTGTCGCGATAAGACTAACAAGAGAGACCAGAAGATGCATTCCGAGGAATTCCGGGCAAATACGACATTCGAACCCGACCAGACGGGGGGTGGGTCAACGTTGTTCGTTTCCATCACCATCAACTACACATGCTGTAGGAGTGGTTGATGTCACTAGCCGTAAGGCGGGGCCAACTTTGGACTTACGGCAGCATGGACAAGGACGCGTGACGGTCGGCCAAAGCTATGCCGCTCACGATGAGATGTATGTTGTTGGTATGCCCTGGGGAACAAACCGATATGATCTTGGTCTAGCGCAAGCTAAAAGCTGGTGGCGGTCCCAGAGCTAATTCCTTGGGAAACAAGTATCGCATTGCTTCAAGTCCCTTTGCCTGGACGTCCGCCAGAATGGCAACTCAAGAGTCCCTCTGCGAGTGACAGCAACGAAAATGCAACGTCGCCTCAGAAGAACAGGTCTGGCAAGAGGTTGTTCATAGCAACTCCGGCTCTCCGAGAGGGGTTGACTCCCGGAGATAAACCCGACAAGTCAAATATTCGAAACTTTTCACAAAAATATTTTTATTGCTTGGACGTGTCTCTCCTTTGTTAGATTTGGAGGAAGAGATTGCACCACCTGGCGACGCCAAACCTTGTGGAGGCCCTGGAGGCTTCCGTTGTGGCCCTTGAGGTGGAGTATCGCTAACGTTTGACTTCGGTGTGATTTGTATATCTCGTCGGTGACGGCAAAACAATATTCCTGACGCTTTCTGCGTGATGGCTGGTTTTGGAAATCGCTCGGGCGTTCTCCAAACTGATTGTCGCTGTGGTGACTGTTCGTATTCTTGTTGTCGCATGCTTGCTCCTCTACTATGTGGTCTCGCCTTTCTCATAGCTTGTTGTGTTGTTCAAAACAAAAACAGCGATAAATGACCCCATGCACCGTGGACTGCGGTTTGCTCTGCCACTGCTGCTCCTGCTGCGGCTGCGGCCGCTCCTCGTTCTGTTCATGCGGGAAATGAAACCGGAACAGGCAATGGATCGTCCGGAAACTGCCTTACTGTGCTCCGTTTACGAGGCCCTAGCTCGTATCCTGTCTTCAGCGTTCGAAGCCTCTCCTGCTTCCATAGGTTGGTTTCGCCCGGTCTTGCGTCCACGTAGGAAAATCCTTTCATTCCCCAGAGGTCGCAACTACACGTGATGGTCGATTCTTTTACCCCCAGCTCGATGGCTTGTCGTGCGAAGACACCAACGTCAACCTCAAGATATCAAGAACATCACCAGTAATGTTGACTTTGGGTTCACTCTGACCTCCTATCGGAAGAATCATCAAGTTCTGTGCTTCTCGTATCGATCCATGTATCTACCCGCGTCGAGCAAACGGAGACCAGATGCTTCTTTTTAGCGTCACCCCGTACCCGGTCCTCTCAGCCGGTGCAACGATGTTGTTTCTCCTGTACGGGATCAAACATTTCGATTCTGTTCCCAATTTTTTTCAATCGTGTACGTGACACTACGCAGCCAAAGCCGAGGAACTGTGCCAACGGGCAATCACGGCGCTGGACCGACCAGACACCAACCCTAAGGGAACTGTTTCTGCTGCAACCGGTGGCGGCGGGACGGGAGGAAAAGGCAGCGCAGGTGGAGCAAACGGTACATGCTCGTCCATCTAGGGATGGATGTATTTCGTTGTTGTAATAATGAATGTTGTCGTTGTTGATTGTGTTCTTCTGTTACTCTCTTCTGTTGCATGATCGCTACCCAATTCCACAAGGATGTGAAAAATCCAGTCGGGGATGAACAGTTGCGAAACAGACACGCGATTGAGTGTGGAAAAATGGTGTAATCTATGCCTGAAATACTTTGTCGGCGCATGCCCCCGCCACCCTAGCCTAAGGGGAAAACAAGACCCCTTCGTCATTTTTGACGTACGGTGTTGTGGACTACATGTAGGGGCAGTAGGTGAGCAAGCGAGCGGTTGGGGCGCACAACTATAGTACGCATATTCTCTTCCATGGCGGGAAAGGCTCCAGACGGATTGGTTTTAGCTCGTGCCGCGAGAGCGAGAACAGACGACCCGGGGACGGAAAACACTGTCCCTTGCCATCGTGTGACCATGACGAACATGAGAGTCATCGCCAAACCAAAGTAGCGCACACGTGTTCCTGTTCTTCTGTTCGTTCCCTCATGGAGACACTCCATGGTAAGTGAGCCCCGAACAAGAAAATCATCGGGGAGAGGCTTGTTCATTCCCCCCTGTCGATCACCTCCATGGCCACATATATCTTCGGGGTGTCTTCTCCAGGAAAAGGTGGCGCAAAGAAGGGAGACGCGGCGGCGGCGGCGGCGGCCAGTGGCGGCGGTGGTAGAAGTGGCGGTGGCGGTGCTGCCGGGGCCAGGCGTGCCAACGTATCCGAGCTCAAGGGGCTGGTGGAGGTGTGCGCGGCGTGCCAGGCGAAACGAGCGGGAGCATCGGCGCTGACAGGAGAGGGGAGGCCGTTGCTGCAGGTTAGCTCCGAAAAATGAAGTGGTGTCGAGATTTTTCTTACTACATTGCATGAGGAGTTCATGAGGGGGGCGGGTATATCACGTCTCTTGGAAGTTGGGAAAGTGGACGGCAAGTTTTCTCGGAGATTCCCGGGAGAGTTGCTCGACGGCGTACCACGTTGAAAGCTTGGATGATTTGAAGGGGCAGGGTATCATCTCGAGTGTAACGGCCTCCTACCACCGCCCCTTGAGACGATCTTCGCGCCCTGCGTCCCAAAAACAACGGTGCAGCGTGTTTGCACACAGCAGTAGCAAAGCATGTTGTCAAGGTGGTCTGCGACGACCTTCGCGAGCTATTGGGCACATTGACTCGCTCTCACACTGAAGATGCCCCACGTCAGCGACCGTACCAGGAGCGGTGGTTTGGTACGTCAGATTGGGACGTTGGTGGTGAGGACGGCGATGCGCTTGGGGTGCGGCTATGTCGAAGGGTAGTCACGATGTTGTGTATGTTGCGAGCCGCGATACTGCGCGGTACCTGGTCACACCGGGAGTCTCCCGAAGTCACTCGCACCATATGTTTAACTCTATTCCCGACGCTGTTCTCGCATGTCCGTTCTGGCCTTCACGGTGGCAAAAAAAACAATTACGTAAGGCCCTAGCTCTGCTAACTGCCGCTTCGGCACTCTCTGGTGCCGATCCGCCCGCCGAAGAACTTGTCGAGAAGTGTACCGCCATCATGCGCGAGTACCGCGGCACGATAGCGGCCGCCGAAGCAGAGGAGAGAGAGAAGCAACACCGAACGGAGATGAGGAACAAGAGGGACGGCCCTAACGCCGACGTCACAGAGACCTACGAGGGCACGAAGGAAGGAAGCGACGGGGGACCGACGAATGCCACAAAGGCAACGACGGGGGGGGTAACCTCAGCGGCACCGGCTCACGGAGGAGGAGCACCACCGCCGGATAAGGTTGACGTTTTTGCCGCACTTAGCGGACGACGGGTTACGAACCTCGAAGAGGATAGGGCCGAGCTGGAGCTGGCCGGGGAGATCTGGTGCCGCCTCGGCAAGGAGCGCCTGGCGAGAGGCCAGAGAAGGGCCGCGGAGGAGTGCTGCGGCTACGTCGCCGAGCTTCTTCCCCAGAGACCGGCCGACCGCCGCAGGGTTCACCCACGGCTATGGAGGTGGCTGGCCGTAGGCGAGGGACTGTGGGGGCAGGCGGTCGCCTCCGCAATAGCCCCGGAGTCTCAAGAAAAGTCCCTTCAGGACGAGTTGAGGTACGCGCCTGAAGGAAGCAGATTTAAAGGAGATATGTGCGCGAGAAACAAAGCTGGGCATGATGGTTGTGCGTGAGTAAATCGAACACGCACCTACATGCTCGACATAGAAACGGAGGCAGCCAAGTGATAGCGCGCAGGATAGAGGCAGATGTATATATCACAGTACAATTATGGATGGCAGTGCAGTGTCATGGTGGGCAACTGGAACATCCGAGAGTAGCACATTCGATATGGGGCAACACAAGGTGGAACGGGCCAACGACAGCTAATGAAAATCTTCAACGGAGGACGTACGTGAATTTCTCACATGGCAGCAATGCGTGAAGTACTCGAACATTCCCTGTAAGAATACGGCGAAAGGTTGGTCGTGGGAAGCAAAACCTCGGCCTGGACAAAATCCAACTTGGTGTACGAAAGGCGAACATATATCGAGGCCAAGGATGGCTACCTTCCTGACCATCTCCTTCTCCAAACCTAATATGATGCACAGGGAGAAAGAGTTGATCGTCGTGAGCGGGTCCCCCTCATGTGATCGACGACTTTGATCGGGACATTGACCAAAATGTGTTCAAGACACATTCGGGTGGGGGTTGTGAACTTTTTCACGGTGGTTCTCCCGTAGGTAGATCTGGTTGGGGGTGCCGTGCATCTGAGCGGTGGCCCTAGTGAGTGTTTACCGTCATACGGTGAACGCCCCCTGCACGCCGAGTCGAAAAGCGATCTGGGGCAGTTCTCGCTTCGAAAGATGCTTCAGACCAAATCTGTCTCTCCGAGCGTTAACGGCACTCATGCACTCATGAATACACCGTAGCGCACACCGTCAGGTTCTCCATGAAAGGCATCCACGATGCAGAACCGTGTGGGTGGTGTTATTTCCTCTGCAGCCGTGGCGTTCGTATAATGTATTGCTATTCCCCAGACGTCGAAGATGCAAGATGAAGGAACGTCTCCAAGTCTTGTTCTAGGTGCCAGGGACGTGAGCACCGGCCGCGAAGCACATCGACGTGAAAAAGTTTGTTGCAGCACGACTCGATCTTGTCTCTTGGTTCACTTGCGTCCAACTTTGCAGGAGGGTTTCCATGAAGCACCTGGCGTTGGCAGCCAAGTTCGCCACTCTCGCTTCCTCTTCACGGGTAACCCTGGACGTGGCCAAACGTCTTTGGAACGTGGCGCTTCCCCTTGCCGACACATCGGCCGGGAGAGCGATCGCTTTTTCCGCGTTGGCAGCCGTTTTGAGAGAGATGGCGAAGGCGGGTATCATCGAGGGGGGAGCTGTTCGCGCTCAGGTATGAACGAATATTGTAGGTTGTTTTGTGAAATGTCGGCAATCAACGACATAACCTGCACTGTCTCACGAACGACAATCCAGGGAGAATCTCCCCAAAGTGCAACACTTTAGGGGTCGAGGGTCAACGTGAGGATCAGTGGATCCGTGTTGGAGCAGGAAGGATCAATCTTTGTCATTTCTTCTACGTTTCCCCTCACTGAAACTTTGTCCATCTGCATGTTTCCAAATCAAGCATTGTAGTTCAGTGGCTGTGAAAACATGCCAGCACGTCGCATTTCGTCGGCGAATACCTTACACAGCGCAGTCGCGCGCTATCGTAAAAACATGCCCCCGCTTTCGTTGATCATCGACTTTCGCTCGTTTTCCTTGCCGGCTTGGATCATGGGGGTGATTTTCGATGGAACGGGCGTGGCGACTTCAGCTATACGTCCTTCTCTTCGAGTGCTACTCGGATCGTGCCGAATGGAAGCAAGGGCTGGCCGCGGTGACCGACTCGCTCCGCTGTGTCCCGCCGGATTTCCAGGTTAAACACATGTACATGCACCGCGGGACTCGTCTCGCCTGCTGCAGTTGCACTCTCAGTACTAGAGCAACTTCACTGATGGTGAATCGACCTACTTCGACGATTGTTTCCGATTTTTCGAAATGAATTTCGGTCGGTGTCTTTGTGAAATCAATACGCTAGGCTTGACGCGAAGAAATATTCAAGCGGGTACTACCCTTAGCACTGTGTGCGTTTGTTTCTACCATGCTATTCAATGCATTGCCCTTCTCCACTTAAATGCCTACTCAAGACGTTCCAGGCTTTTCGGTACACTTTATTCGAATTCGTGTAGTGCTGCCAACAACTTAAGGGGTGTTGCGAAGACGGCAAAGTTGATTTTCTTCAAATTCGTAACTCAAGGCGCCCTATGGAATAGTTTTTGGTTGGCCCAGTGTCCCCCGGCCGAAGTTTATTGTCTGCCAAGGGCCTGTCCTGTTAGGTCGAATTGTTGCTGATCCAGCTCCTGCAAGTAGTGCTCTCGTCGTTCTCGTCGTTGTTGTTGGTTCTCACGTAGGACTGTTCCCATCTAGGAGACACAGCACAAAAAACCTGGCGAAACTCCGCCGAGGGAAAGAAATTGTAAAAAACGAATGTAAAGCACCCGTGACACAGGCAGTCTTTCCACATCGAGCCAATGTAGACGCGGAAACAACCGATGAGACTTCAGAAGCGAGACGGGCGTCGCCGATCGCATGATGCCAACAGCATAGCGCACACCGTAGTCCACCAACCCCTTGCGATACACTGCTTGTGCACAGCGCCCCCTGTGGCAGTGGCGCGTGGTATTCCTTTCAAGGCTTGGCATCACCTCTCTCGACGGATTGGCGAAGACCAAGGAGTCCGATAAAGTCCTTCAGGGCAAGAGCTGGTGCACGCTGGCGAGGTCGGCGAGCGACCCGAAACAACAGCTGTCGGCCTACCTCAAGGCCCTCGAGAGCTATGGGGAAAGGTACGCTAACGTCTTTTCACTTAAATGTGATGGGGTTGCGGTTGGATAAAGGTAGAACTGACCAAAGTTGTTGCTGCTTGGAGCTGAACGAGATAACTGTTTCCACTTTTCTGTTGAAATATTGTTTTTGACATTTCAAAGCGTGTTTCGACAACCCAACATCACAACAACAACAACAACAACAACAACAACAACAGCAACAACAACAACAACAGCAACAACAACAACAACAGCAACAACAACAACAACAGCAACAACAACAACAACAGCAACAACAACAACAACAGCAACAACAACAACAACAGCAACAACAACAACAACAGCAACAACAACAACAACAGCAACAACAACAACAACAACAACAACAACAAAAACAACAACAACAACAACATCAAACAACAACAGCGAAAACGTTACACACCCACAGGTTCGAGAAGTTGGACTGCCTGGTGGAAATGGGGGAGTGGGCAATGGGGAGAGGCCTTGCGCAATCAGGCTCAGACTACTTGCGGTCAGCGTTAGACCTGCTCTACGACGTAGAGGTGGGTCGTCGGCTCAGCTCGGGGACATTTATAAGCTTGTCTTGGTCTGAATTTGAATTCCGGTGTAGATACGGCGGCCCGAAGTTCGTAGTTTCGAGTCGGGATGAATAATCGTGCCGAACAGGCTCGAAAGGAATCTCTTCCCACGCAAAGTGGTTGTGAAGCCTTACATGAAGAACCAAGCAGCATTGGCATCGAAGTGGTGGCTCTGGTCAATCCGGTACCACATTCTACCGCATTCTTCGCATGTGTTTTCCCGCCCACTCGTGTCGGTTCGGTGCTTGTGTACATGTCGTTTTATCCGCCCAGGAGAGGTCGATGCAAGCGCTAAACGACGGTCCGCAAGACACAGACGACGACAGCCATGATGGCGCCAGGGGCGAAGGAGGCAGATCAACCTGCGAGAGCAACGACGACAGCCGAGCCCAGCCGTCAACAGGCGGCGGGCTCAGAAGGGGGGCCTCAAAGCGGTCGCTTGGCAGCCACGGGGGTGCAGGCAGCAGAGGCTCGAGCAGGGGGGGGGGACCGAGTTCCAAGGTATCCATGACCAACGCCGATGCCGCGTGAACAGCCCGCTGCGCAGCGTGGTCACGCCTGCGTAGACACCCGCGAACGGACTGCAAACTTGTTGGCACGTTTGTTTGACACCCGCGGCTGCAGCGGCGGCAGCAGGAAAGTAACTGCTTGTGTTTCGGCTTGGCTTGTCCCGACGTCGAACTGGGCGCGGAGCCAAATCCCACATCCTTTCGAACCCGTGGCCTTATGCCGGAACATCGGGGTTTGTTATGGTCGAGTGGAAAGTGTTTCATGAGGTTCTCCTGCTTGTCGGCACTGCGTGTTTTCTCTGGTGATCTCGGTAGTGCGCCCTGGGCACGAGTGGATCAACACCATGAAATATTTTTTGTGGAGAATCGAAGAGAACCCGGCGGCAGAGTAACAGCAACAACGGCAGCATGAGCTGACCGCAGGTACGCAGCAATCGATGCCAAACGACCCCGCCCCCGTCACAACCGAACCGTCTTTGTCAGGGGGGCGCCTCTTCCTCCACGGCGCTTTCCGACCAGAACGGATACCCGGAGGCCTTGACGATGGGGCACCTCGAGACCGCCGTAAGGACGCTGGCCATGCTCGCGAGGGGCGGCGGTTGCTGCTCCACGTTTGAAGAGCGCCTCGACGTTCTGATGCAGGGGTACTACTTCGTCGGGAGGATGGCGGGCATGGTGGAGGAGACGGTGGAGTGCGGACGCCGGCGGTGGCTGTTCGAGGAGTCCGTACCCGAGGGCGGGGAAGGGGGGGAAATGGCATTCCAGGAGTGGTGCGCAAGCTCTTCCGGTGGGTACAGTAATCAGTAATGGTCAAAACAACGTCGTGGTCGTGATCGTGTTCACCACCTTCGATATGTTCCTCATTTATGTCCTCTTCAAGCCACACGAGGCGCGTTTCTGGGTGAAACATATTCCGGATATGTCAAATGCGGGGCCAGATCTCCCTGTACTTTTTCTGTCTGACAGCCGAACTAGAGATCCAGACAAGGTAGTATAGTTTCGAGTTCGGCGTCGTGCTTGTTCCAAGCGTCGCTAGCCCATTTCGTCCCATTGCACTTTGAACGAGACAGTCAGACAGACAACCACAGGCAGATAGGTAGCACAGACTAGCAACCAGATTCGGTGATCCGTTACTCAAGAAATGTGTGTCGTTCATGGATAGCTAGTGGTTCCCTTTGGTTTTGAGAGCTCACCGCTTCACCTGCCTTGCTTCTGTGCTTGGGGTTTGGCAGCCGATGCGTATTGTGCGGGTTCAATTTCCCGATATTATTCGTGTAACGCTGGTTGTTACACCACGGTATTTGTTGAGTCTCCGCCTGAACTCCGTAGTCGTTTCCTTTCCCACTGACTCATGCCTTGACCGTTGTGCGCCATAATGTCTCGTAGACATGCATTGACATCAAAACTGACGTGCGCTGTTCAATATGCCGGTGACCTTGCTAGCTGCAGAAGTGGCGGCCACGTCATCTAGTGGCCGACGTACTTCCACTACGGCAGGCGGACGAGCCCCGCTACACCTGCGGGACTGGGCCTACTGGCGGCTAGAGCCGGTGCCAGTAGAACCAAAGGATGACAACGGCGGTGACAAGAACAACTACGATAGCGTCGACGAAAACGGCGAAGACGACCTGGACCGGTACATGGCAACCCCGCCTGCTGGACGGGAGCCCTTCGTCATCTCGACGACCATCATCGAGAAAGCTCCGCTCCTCTTCCACCACCTGCTCGACCTCGCCGAGACCATGGAGTCCCACGGCCTGGCCGCCCACGCGGCAGCACCCCTCGCCCTGGCCGAGCTGGTCGCCCGACTGTGTCTGGGCCCGGCCCGCAGGAGAAATGGCGGCGGCAGCGGGGGTGTCGGCACCGATGGGAAAGGGGCCGAAGATATCGGCGAAGACGGCTCCGGCAACGCGTTTCCCGCGCTGGCCCTGGCGCGCCTTCGGAGGGCAAGGTTGCTGTTCAAGCTCGGGCCGACGTGAGGACCAGAAGTTTACATGTATAGGACGGATTCCGTGAGGACAAAGGGAGGGTGATGCGATTGCATTGCAGCGTGTCGCGTAAATGACCGTGATTCTGGGGCATTGCGAGTACTTCGAGGTGGTGGGTGATGCGTACCAGGGTCACGAGGACCTACCGCTTTCCTGGGGCCATAACCATCGAAACATTGATTCGTTTCACTGTGACACGGTGAATGGATATTGCTGTGTAGTATTTTACAAGAGTTTTACCAACAACATAGCCGACGATCACGCCCTCTCATGTGCATACGACATAACGAATACGAGATATCGATATTTGACCACGCTTGTGTGTTTCTCGACATGGGCATGCCTTGGCGTGCACATGCGTTCAGGTTTTCGCGGTTCACCGCATGACTACCCTAAAGCCTTTGCGTCGTTATCATCAGATGTCACGAGACGGCCATGCGAGCGGCCTCGGCGGCAGGACCCCTGGGAGTTTCCGCGGAAGAGGCCGCACGGAGAGGGTCAGAGGTAGATCGAATCTTGCGGCAGCGGAAAGAAGACTCGCTTCAACAGCCATGGCAACAACAGGAACAACACCCCGGAATGCCGGGGAGGAATGTCTCGGCTGCTTCTTCCCTTCCCCCTGCACCGTCAACACAAACGCGGTTCGACGGGAGCAACACATCCTCCGGGTTGGATCGACCAACGGCAATGGGGGTGGGTCGGAAAAGCGACGCTGTTGCCGATGATTCGGAAGGACGAGAGGTGGAGGTTCCACGGCTAGGGAACCTTGAAGATAGGAAGGTTTGGGCGATGCTGGCCACGGAGGCAGTGCAGCTCGGGGAGTGTCGCGCCGCAGCCCAGTATCTCGCGGCGGCGCAGCGCCACAACGACGCCTTCCGTGACAGGAACAACGTCGTGAGGTGAGACCGGTTGTGTCCTGGCATGGAAAAGCTGTCATGGCGGTGGAGCCATGGCCGGTTTGAGGATAGCTGCGCGATCCCAACCGCATCGGTTCTATGCCACCCACGGTGGCAGAAAGAGCTACACGTTGCCCAGCGCTCTTACGATCATCACCGCACCCTGACCAACACGTGGCACTCACCGCGAACTATTTCCAACAGCACGCGGAGTAGCAGGCTTGACCTGTTTTCCGACAAGTCCCCCTCTCCGTAACTCCAGCAACACCCGCTTCTTCCTCCTTGTTAAAACCTCGTTCGGCATCCTCTGCAGCTGCCTGGAAGCTCAGGCGGCATTGTGCGATGCTCAAGGGCACCCCGATCGAGCACTTCGGTGCCTCTTGCGGGCATCGGCCTTGCTGAAGACGCTCGGTGTGACCGGCTCAACCGCTGCGCGGTATGTGTAGCGCTCACATAGGGTCAGATGGTTTGATTTCGTCTTTTTCAACAGATAGTCGTGGGGTTCGTGCGCACCGAAAGTGTTTTCACTTCCGAGGAGGGTGACTCCCCTTGCCATTGCTACTATCCGTTTATTTCGCTTCATATCACTCTCCACCCACATCCTGCGGAAAGTTTTAGGGTGTCAGACGAGTCCTTCCGCCACCCATACTACGGTCGGGAGTATTCAGGGTCTCAGGAAAAAACCCGCCTCAAATTGTCCAGCCTTGGGTCTCGGACTCGGGTCTCAGGAAAAAAAACGCCTCAAAGTGTCCAGCCTGCGTCTCGAACCAACGCCTTTCTACTGTTAAGCCGACATTGCCCCAGTGGACTAGTCAGCGACTAGTCTACGCTTGGTTGTGACGATACGTTATGTTGCGGTTGATGATGCTGATTCATGGGGTGGGAGAACACCGCACAAAGTGCCCAACATTCACTCTGCACAGTGACAAAAATGGATAGCTCTCTGGAATCTTGGACAGTGGTAGGCAAGCTCTTGCTTCAAACCGAAACTTCTCGCAAGAGTCGTTGGCCTCTGCCACGTACACACACCCAATACTCCTGTATGTTACAATGCTGTGTGAAAATGTGGATGTGTACAGATGTGTGTAGAATGGGTTCGGTGGTTCAAGACGCAAAAATACACGCCGTTCAGCTATCATTCAGGGCAGCGGGGCGTTGGATGAGACGAACAAAAGTAGCAGCAGGAAAACCAACAGAGACTGTAATCACAAGGCGACGCCGTCAAAAGAAAAGATAAAAGCAACACCAACAAGAACAATAGTTACTGACACTGGGAAACCTTCCAGGGTTCTATTAACTGAGGCAATGCGTTCGTTCACGCATTGTGGCTGAAACCGCAGGTGGGGCAAAATGGCAGTAGCAATCGGTAGCATGATGCGCAAGATGGGCACTGGTGACGCCAAAATTCGGCAGACTCTTCAGGTGAGGCTATGGTTGTCTCAGAAAAGCCTCAACCCTCAAAATATCTCCTCATAGTCTCTACCTACGCTCAAGAATATTGAATTCATTCGAAATCCCCAACGCTAACCTGCTGAACCTGTTTGGCGATTTGTTGTGCCTCCTTCAATCCTGTTTCGCCATCTCTGTGTAGGACAAACCTTTGTTTTTGTTCAAACAATTTTGCACTTTCTACCGAACATGAGGGTCACTCCCACCAACAATGCACTGCCGGTAACCCCTACCTCTCCTGCCCTCAGCATGAAGCTTATTCCGGATTCTCTTCCTTTCCGGGACTATTAATTCGGTGATTCTCACTCCATTCTTTTCTGGCCTACGCGATGTCGTTGGAGAGGAAAGGCTTATCGTCACATCCCGCCACATCTCGATGACTTGATGACAATATTCTACTACTGCGTTTGCGCGTAGACGGCCTGCGATGCCTTGGAGAGAAGCATATTCCGGGGCGTGCACAAGGCGGAAATTAGCGCATCAGCACCGGCGGCAGCTGAAGGCGGCCAGGCTGCCCAGCCTCACGGTGGGGTTCCGCCCACGCCCCCGCAAACTGTGGATCTTGATGCTGCCATAGCGTTCTCCGGGTGAGATCACACAGCCTGAATCCAGAAGACAGCGGTGTCAAGCCACTGAAATATGCGGCAATGTTGTTGAATGTTCCATGGGCACGAGAGCTCGAGATGCTCGTTTCTGGGTGGTCCTTGCTACAGTGATTTCTTTGCCCTCATCCAAATGCCGTTGCCACGGGACTCGACTGGTTTGCCTCGAAGTTGTTGCCAGCCCTGAACACACAGGGATTGCGATACGGACATCTATCAAGCCTTCGTGATGCATCTGATTTTCACTTACGAAGAGGGCACAGGGAAGTCCTACCACTAGCGTTCATAAATGAATCACGGAATGTTTTTGGCGGTTTCTTTGGACTTAGGTGCGCCTGCCTGCTTGCCGAAGCTTCTACCGCATCGGACGAGTCAACGCACAGTTCATCATCCAAGGTAGGGAAGGCTGCAAAGGCCAACGAGCGAGGCACCAGTAGGACCGGTACCATCATGACTGCTTCCCCTTCGGCCACAACGACGCCTGCCGCAGTCGAAGACTTCGCCAGTAGCAGAAGCACGGTAATGATCTGGGATGATGGATGTTGGTACATATGGATTGACAATGCTACCGATGTAGTCTAGCGAGTTCTGCTGCTTGCTTGTCTTGGTGCTACTGCTGTTTGCTCATGGTGATGCTGTGGAACTGTATTTGGGTCGCGGCAATAGCAATTATCGCGCTGTGTGGGACTCTCCGTCCCACACGGGCCGCGGTGGTGTTCGTCGCCAACGAACGCCGAAAAACATCGACCAACAGCTGCAGAAGGAACGATCATGATTTTTTTCAGATACTGTCCCCCAATGTATCTGTCTCCTCATAGTTATCCTAACAACAGACCCGTTAAGAAAACCATACGCCTCATGGATGCTCCTTCCTTGTGGTACTTGTCATCCTACGACAACAGCAGCAGCAAGGGCAGAAGACCGCGACCCCCCTCGCTGTCCTATGCGGTGCTGCCGACAAGCTTCGCCCCCTGGGCAACCACCCGGCTCTACCCGCTGTCCTCCGTCACACGGCCCGCGAGTGGGTGCACTGTTGGGCGAAATCATCCGCAGCAGCAGGCGCGGCAGGAGCAGGAGCAACGACCGTGTTGTCGTCGTCTTCGGCCTCCTCCTCGAAGGCGCGCAACAACCGTGGCCATGATGATGGGTCGCCGCAGCGTCCTGACGTGAAGTGTCTGGAGGAAGCGGCGAAGTGTCTCGCCGAGGCCCGAGAGGTGCTGTCTGCGCTCGCCGCCGAGGCCGAGCCTATAGGGGACGCCTTGTCGTCACTCCCGCCCTTGGTGGCAGCAGAAACACCTCCAGCCAACACCGAGGACGGAGACGAACCAGCGGGGGCGAAAAAGGGAAAGGGGGCGGCCGACAGCAAGGGCGGCAAGAAGGCGGCGGAGGGAAAGAGCAAGAACGGGGCGGCGGCGTCCTCGACTCCCGCGGATTTGACGGACGCCACCCCCACCGATGAATCAATGACTCCGGCTGTTGCCGGGTCCGTTTCGACCCCGCTCGGCAGGTGCCTGACGATGGTCCAGCTGGAGGAGGCGTGTGTGCGGGCGATGCTAGGCAGGGCCAGGGGGGACGGCCAAAGCTCTACGAAGGCAGCGGAGGCCGCCGCCAACAGGGAGGGCGTCACTCCGGTGCAGAAGTACGCAGATAGCTTCGGTCTGGGCAAGAGACACGCCGCATGTATTCATAATCTTTTGCTCTCCGCGAGGGACATCTCCTCTTGTAGCCTTCGTGCCCGGAAATCCAAGACACTCGCCGCACCGTCCCTGTTAGTAGGTGGTGATGGTTCAAACACGCGCAGCCACTACTCTCACTTTTCCCTCTCGTTGAAAGTATCCTGGCTATGACAGACTGTACCTATGTCAACCATACTGTAGGTCAAGGCCACGAAGCAACCTGAATCCGCATGGAACGGTTTTCGTTCGTTTTACTGTCCACGCTGTACGTTCTAAATGATGCAACGGATGGAACCATCTGCAACAAACGAATGAAGGACAACTGCCTGAACACTGTGTGGATTTTGTTTCGCGGGGGCGAAGGATTC